GACAATTACGAAACGAGCGCTTATTTCCAACAATTTCCTCAAACCAGCACAATTTTTATGTCGAAGTTGTGGCGATCCACGCTCTCCGAAGAAATTGGTAAGATGCTGAGTCATGTGAGTATTTGCCGTTCCCAGAAGACTCGTAAGAAGCTTGAAGAAGTTCGACTTGCCAATCTGCTTCTCCATTGAATATAACACGAGCATAACCTTCGTCTTGCTGTCTGGATAGTGACAAATGCTACCGATATACTCCATCAACCACTGGTACCTCTCAGGATGATTGAAGCGAATGATACGCTTCAGGTAATCGACTAATACTGTGTGCAAGTCAGATTCGGTAATATCTTCGTAAAGATCCTTTGCCTGTAGTGGATTTGCTAAGCTGAATGTCTCCATATCATTTGGATCATGTTCCCATTTGTAGACAGTATTTGCAAACTTGTGGAATGGAACCGTATTGAGAAGGTCAGACAGCTTGGTGGAACGTGGCTTCTTGTTTGCAATGAACTGAATTTGCAACTTAAAGAAGTTCTTTGGGTCATATGCCTTGATCACAGAATTATCGTCCTCTGTTGGCTTACGCTTGCAGTAGGTGATATCAGATCCTTCAAAGACGTAGAACTCGTGGATGAAGTAGAGCGCAAATCGTTTCAGCAAATGAAGAGACTCGAAGCTGGTAGTATTCAACATCTTCTCGAAAGTACTGAAATTTAAATCAAAGTCACGATTGGGCTTGTTCTCGATCACTAGATACTTCTCCGCCCAATACTCAAGCTCATCGATCTCAAATGATGTATCAACCATGGCTGAACGCATGTCATCAGTTATTCGACCAGTTAATTCCACCAGCTGAGTTAGCGTTGCCAACTTCCGCTCAGACTTGAATGTCAATTCGAAATCTTGATCAAGTGTAGAAAGCTCAAACGTCTTCGAAGTGGATGTTTTCCTTGGCTCCTTGACTTCGTATTCATCCTTCCATTGCTTGTATGCAGCAGAATCACAACCAGCAGCAATCCCTTTCAGTTTGCCTTCGTTCAGTGATGGATTATACTTGGAATCAAACCAACCATCGAATTCTTTGGTAGCAAACTCCTTGTTGAAACGCTCTACTTTTTGTTTGAGCACACAGAGATAGGTCTTGCGCATCAAATACCAATCAGAATGACGTTGACGAGCAAAGAATCCAGCGAGATTCCACACGTTTTGGTTGTTGCAGAGCCAATCGCCTCGAATCATCATGCACAATTGATACAATTGCTCATCGTAGGATTTTGTTGCAAGGAAGTATTCCACACCGCATTCAACGTTCGCTTGTTCAAATGATTCACGGTCTTCACTGGACTTGAAGAAGAAGTTATCAAGCATCTCCGATTCATCCAGTTCATTGAATTGATATTGCAAAAGGTACGTGTATCCGTCGTTACCAATGTCGGGTGTGACATTATCACTGTGCTTGTAGTCGATGGAATCACCAACTGCGTGCATCTTCGACTCGATCCAATGACTTGGTGACAATACGCGTGAATCTCCCAGCTTGGGTTCATTGTATTTATCAACAGATTTGGTGTGCTGAATGCAATGCTCACCATAAATTTCTTCAATAGACTTGGTCATCATTGGTTCAGCAACTGCAGGCTCAGCAACTACAGGTTCAGCAGCAACTGGTTCAGCAACTGCTGGCTGATACTTTGCGTGGTGTCGGCACCAATCACCTTTTGAGCCGCACTGTTGGCTCGCCTTTGGGTGGGTTTCTGGGAAGATGTACTTACATATTGTCATTTCTATATATTTATTTTTATCGCTCAAGATGAACTCATTATTATTTAGATTCTAAATATTGAGGAATATATTTGTCAAAAAAAAAATATTGTGGAGTGATATGATTCGCTAAAATTGTGCGGTGTATCGCATGAAGGTGTGCTGCTGCTCAGTCGAGAACTTTCCGCATGAAGATGGCTGAGGAAAAGAACATGGAGGAGGCGGAGACGGAGGTGAAGCTTCGCTGCGGTGTGTATGGCGAAGGGAGCGTCTTCTCCGTCGAGATCCAGCGCAATGCAGATGTGGAGGCACTGCAGGAGAAGATCGCTGGCATCTTGAGCACCGAGTAGCACACTGTCCCCCCAAGGTTGTTGACGCTGTACATGGCGGGGAAGAAGGAAGGGGAGAGAACCAAGTGGCTGTCGGGTGGTAAGAATGTGAAGCACCTACTGCGTGGAGCGGTGGACTCTGATTACCCAGAGATGTTTTCGTGGTGGATTCTCGACGAAGATTGCTTTGGGAAGAACTCTCAGCCTGGTCGCAAGGAGATTCACGTGCTGGTGGAACTTCCTCCTGACGAGTTCAGTGTGAAGCGACAAAGAGTTGAGCATCGCACGTCGCTCGCGGAGCTATGGGAGCACTCGGAGTTGCAACTGGCGGTAT